ATTAGTACTTAGGTACGTATTAGTTGTACATAGTACTAAGTACTAAGGGTTAACTTTACGTAAATAATTAGTATGTATATATATATATATATATATATATATATATATATATATTAATATATTACTATATTTCAGTTTACTGTATACAGATTTTCTTTGTTCTCCTTTCTCTTTTAATATATCAATACATCGCCAAAACGACCTCAAAGTTAATGTTAAATGAGCTAACCACTAACTTTCTAAAGAATATATGCTATTTGGACATTTTTATACTTTGGGCATGCTCATGTTCTTGTTCATGATATAAAGATTCTTATTTTTTTATGTTTTGGGTCTAAATTTGGAAAATATTTTCTATTACAAAATTATCTTGGGTTTAGAACTTATAACCGGCAGTGATTTTTATATCTTTTAATCAAGTTATTCAAATGAAACTAAATTACTAAAATCTCATCATTTTCTTCCTAGTTCCATACACTAACAAAGAATTTTAATCGAAAATGTGCTCCATGTTTGTAACTGCCAATAAGAAGGAATTATTTGAGTTCTACTTCTAAAATTTTATTTGAGTTTTATTTTTAAATATTTATATAATTTATGACGACTTATTATGCATTTAAGGGTTACTTTTGAAAATCTTGATGATATTTTTGTTTTCTTTGATATATTTTCATGTTACTGCGTGGAGATTCTCTTTGTTTGGTTTGAGTGCTGCAGGTTCTCTGATGGCGTTGTTCCATCTCTTCTTTCTCTTTTAATATATCAATACATTGGAAAGTCAATGACGTGTTAAATGAGCTAACTACTAACTTTCTAAGGAATCTATGCTACTTGGATATTTTATTCTTTGGCCATTCCCATGACCTAAATATTTTTGTTTTTTATGTTTTAGGTCTAAATTTGGAAAGTATTGTCGAAATTATCATGGATTTGGAACTAAAACCTGACATTGATTTTTTTTTATCTTTTAATAGAGTTATTCAAATGAAACTAAATTACTAAAATCTCATCATTTTTTTCCTAGTTCCATACCCAAACAAAGAATTTTAATAGAAAAATTTGCTTCATGTTTGTAACGACCAATAAAAACGAATTATTTGAGTTCTATTTCTATTTGAGTTCTATTTTTTAAATTTTATGTAATTTATAATGACTTTGTATGCATATAAGGGTTACTTTTGAAATTTTGGATGAAATTTTTATTTT